TAAAAGACCCGATTTCGGTAGCAGCTCATTCATTGATCGATCACACAAGTGTCGGACAGAGAGAGAGAGAGAAACAGGGAAGATAAATCAACCAATCTGCTGTTGACAAACAGATCGGATAAGAAACGCGGTACTTAGTGCGGGAAAAAAAGAACAAGGATAGAGAGAATATTCGGTATACCTGTGGTCGATAGCACAGTTTGAACTCTGTTAAAAATTGCACTGTGAGGTCTCAAGAAGCACCCCGGCATAGAAGGGATCATGGAATTTATCGCTCCGGTTCACGTGATGATCAAATCAAAGTAGACGTTGTGGTGTCTGTTTATATGTCAGCACAATCAAAAAAGAACTAGACTAGTAATGACAATTTTATTTTCACGTACCTGGATGTACGATGATGGGCTCTTTCGCGTGATTTGAGATCATTAGAAAAGCATGTTCTATAGTATCAGGCACAAAGTTAGCTTTTGCAGAAAAAACAAGGTGTTCCATTGCTTCAACGGACCATCTACCCAGTCTAAATACCGGTCTGAGAAGAGTGCGGTCGGAGCTATTTGCCGTCCGCAGCAGGTTGGTGACCGAGTTCCCTGTCCCTCTGCTTCGGGATTTACACACAGAGGTTCGGCAATGCCTTTTATTACTACGCTACGCTGTCTACCCAGTGCTATCTCACTGCTGGCCTCAAGTTTGAGCACGCCCTCCTCTCCGAGTCTATTAACCTTCTACTGGTGGGCCCCCAAGTGACCCTCTTGTTGTCTAGTCCTAAGCCCTAGCTCTTCGATTTTTCTTCCCAATTTGTCAATCGTACCAGTTTCCTTGCTGGAACTTTTACAGCTACTGTGGCCTTGATAACGGTTAATCACTAACGTGTCCCTTTGCCCTGAATCTGAGCTAATACGTGTGGTGGTATTTAAAGGACTCTCCTGTCTGGCGGACATCTTGGGTATCTTAATGCAAGCTGCGCACACCCACTTGAGTACTTCGTGTTCTATGTATGGTATCAACGCTTTCTTTTCTAGGCCACTGCAAGCCTGATTGTACCACTTCCCATAGCAATCGAAACAGATGACATTCCTTGAGCTCGGATGAACAATTTTCAATACCGCATGGGTATTCCATAGGTTGGGGCGTATTCTTCACCTCATTCAGATACTTCATCGCACTACTCCGGGCAGTTGGTATAATAGTGGCGGAACTTCTTAGCATGCGACCGACCACAACGATTTGGTAGAAAAAAAATCCGAGTGTTTCATTGCTTGGTTGAAATGATCGTGTGCATCCCCAACCCATCAAGTTAAGAATACAAGTTTTATGATGACTACCACAGTGACACTTGAATACTCCGCCACGACAGTTTTCGAAAGAAAAGACCATCTCGCAATACTACATGATTTTATGTCCAGGACGATTTCGCTGAACCTGAATATGGCGTGTATACTGCAGGAAACATAATGTTTACATTGGGCTTTAGCATGCCTACACAGAAAAGTAAAATGCATTAAAATAGACCAATATAAAAGGAAGGGGAGGGGTAAAAGGGCCACGTAAAAAGGATAAAGACAAAATAACATAAAGTTCTTTTTGTTGCCACCGAGCGCAGGCTTCCAGCGGTTGATGGCAATTGTGTGTTCGAATGTTTGGAGGACGCGCAACGCACACTTGATAGACTAACAAGTGCTGTTGCCACAATCGGTATGTGCTTTGCACCTTCAAAATGCAAAGTGATGCTGCAGGACTGGGTTTCGCCTATTCCCGTTCTGAAACTAAATGGCTAGGAATTAGTTATAGTGGATTACTTTCCGTATTTAGGTAGTTGCGTGACCAATGAGGGTAACGCAGCGAAAGATATGACTGCCCGCATTTCCAAGGCTCGAGCAGCATACGCAGGACTGAAACACCTTTGGCGTAGACGTGACGTTCCAATAAAGTTGAAGGTCGTGCATATTGCCCTAGCGTTCGTTCAGTTCTGCTTTATGGTTGTGAAACACTGAATTTGCAAGTAGTATGTATCCATCGACTAGAGGCTTTCGACTATCGGTCTTTATGTAGTTTAGCCTACGTAGGATAGAGCGAACGGATTAGTAATCCGCCTTGTGGTTGAGACTCTACAAGGTATAAACCCATTAGCACACTAAATTCAGATTAGTAGGCTTCGCTGACTAGGGCACGTATTACGTATGCCCAGCCATCGTCTGCCGCACCGCTGTGGCTAATCCGGGCTGGAGGAATCCACGTGGAGGCCAACAGATGACGTGGAGGCGAGGCATGAAAAACTGCAAAGAACCATTAGGTAGAGCGGGTGTCTTGTACCTTCCAGGCTGGGGTG